TTGGAGGTGGCGATTTTTCGATATCGAGAGCTACGGGCTGAAATGGAATGTAAACCTAAAAAAAGATCACTATTTTTACAGTACTCCCATATATTTCACAATGGCGAAACCATCCGGAGCCGTTTCTGAAGGCCGCAGCGCGCAGCCACAAATATCCGGCATGCTTTAAACGTTAAAAATTTGATACCAAAGTTGCACGTTACTTCAATAATATTAGCAAAATATTATTCCGCAGAGTTGTAAAAATTATTCTTCACTGCAACATTTTCTTCATCTCGTTTTTTATTCTGTCAAAATTAAGTAGCTGGTATACGTTTTGGCGTGAGTTGTGAAATGAAAAAAGTGTGTCATTTGACATGGAATGGCCATATATACCGTAAAGTGCATTAAGTGACTGTAAAAACATGAATTTTCTTTCAATTTCACGTTTCTTCCTCGCTCGTAACTCTAGATGACGAACGAACATTATCGCCAAACTCTGATAAGTTCTAGAGCAAAAAATTCGACACAAGATGTTTTTTTTAATTAAATGTATACTTTTTTTATATTTGTTTGAAACGTTGCTTCTCCTGTAGATACAAAGTTTTTAGCAAATAGAAATTATATAATATGCATTTAGGAGTACAGAAATTGACCAAACTAGTAAACTCGGTGAATTCTGTTGAGAAAAGGCTAAAGTGCAAACCTTCTAATTTAGGCATTTCAAGCGGTGACCTGACAAGTTTCGTAACTTTGAGGGGATGTGACTTGATGGGGGATTCAATTTACCAGCTTTTTCGGCCTTCTGCATATTGGTTTAGACTCTACTAATCATCAAAATTCAAAAAATTCCGAGATGCCATTCAAATAAGGAGTGCCACTTGGCGTGGAGCAAAACAGTCTTATCCAGTATCCGCCTTGAGTTAGCATTTTTGCCTATATATATATATATATATATATATATATATATATATATAATATATATATATATATATATATATATATATATATATATAAACTATATATATATATATATATATATATATATATATATATATTTGTCAGGTAGGCGCTTGAAATGCCTACATTATAAAACTTGTATTTTAGCCTCTCCTCAACAGAATTCAATAATTTCATCAGATTTGTCAACTTCTGCACTTAAGAATGAATATTAAATAACTTTATTTTGCTAAGAAGTTTGTGGACACTTTAAAAACAAAATTTCAAACAAATATTAAAGATAAGGTACTTTCAAACTTTACAGAAAAAAAAATATATTTTTGTCAAATTTCTTACTGTAGAACACACCAAAATTTGGTGAAGTTTTTTTTTTTTGATAATAAGAGTTACGATCCATGAAGAAACGTGAAAACGAAAGAAAATTTGATGCTTTTACGGTCATTTTAGGCACTTTACAGCGGCGAAGCCGTATTGAACTGTTTCTAAAAACCACGGAAACCAACTACAAAAGTTCGGTTTGTTCTAATCGTTCAAGATTTCTTAGGAAAGTTGTATTTTCCTCTGCGATTTTAACAAAGTTATTGCTCTGCACAGTGGCAAGCAGTAGTCTGCATTCTACTATTCTCTGCATTTTACACGTTCTGGTTTACTTGAAGGATGAATAAGGCACTTTTAAGTCGTAAAGGACAAAGCAACCAGCGATGCTTCATTTGACACACACTTTATAGAACAGCGGGTTTTTTGGGCACAGAATGAGGGAAACATGGAAATTTTTACCCCAATATTTGCGCAATCAGCGAAAAAAAAAGACATAGAATTGTGTCCGTAATGCATCCGGTAAAGTTTTGGTGGAACAAGCGAATATAAACTGAACTCACTGTTCTTCCTATAAAATTATGTGCTGTGTTCCTCCAGGCCCCTTAAACATTTAAAAAAAACAAATCCACCAGCTAGTCGGCAAATGCAACAGATTCTCTGGCGCCTTCTTAAAAATATTCGCAGTGAGAAGACAAGAAGTGGAACTTTCGTAGCCTCTCTTCGTGACTTTCAGAAATAGCTCAACACGGCTTCGCCAATGTAAAGCGCATAGAATGACTGTAAAAACAACAGATTTTTCTTTCATTTTCACGTTTCTTCCTGGCCCATAACTCTTGATATCGAAAAAACGCCATCATCAAATCTTGATATGTAGACAGTAAAAGACCCAGCACAAAATATGCCATTTATAAAAACTTTGAAGATAAACTTTCTTTGTTATCGGTTCGAATTCTCGTTTTCACTAGATCTAAAACGCTTCTAGCTAAATTAAAGTACTTAATGTATTTCAAAAGTACAGAACGCAGCAAGTTCAAAGAAGTAAAACCCACTAAATTCTAACAAAAACAGGCTAAAATATATTCCTCAAAGACAGGTTTACATATACATATTTACTCATTTGTTTGTTTGTTTATTTATAATCAAGTAAATAAACAGAAGAATAGAAAAACAGACAAGCAAATAAATAAACAAATATATAGAAATAAATATAAATACAAATGTATATATTTATTCTCACCTTGCTCTTGGAGAAGGCTTCTCGCGAACATATTGCCAATATGAGAACTTAATCCACCCATCATTACAACGAACTGAATAATCGCAACAAGTATAGTAAAAGTCGCGAAACATTAGCTTACCCGACAGTAAGCTAATTGACAAAGAACCTGAAATCAAAAACTGATCTAGTCAGTCCCGAAAAACTAATTTAGAAGAAAAAAAAACAAACCCAGTGAAAAATAAACATTAGACCCTTTCAGCCGATAAACCCGAGTTAATATAAAGGCAAGAACGGGGCCAAGAATCCGAGAGAAGTAAAACAGAGCAAACGTGTTCCAGATGATGAAAAACAGTAAGCATGCGAATAAATACCAGTGCCCGAACTATAATCACCAAAGACAATAATTTTATTAATTCCTCATGTTTATTCATACAAAAATTAAGCTGAGCTGGTAATAAACCTTACCTCTAACGATTTCCCATCAAAATGAATGTTGAATAATGTGTTATTTGAGTTCAACGAGATGGTAGTGCTTGAGGCATCACTTACAGAATTCCAGTTCATCGCTTTTACGGTTGCCAGGATGTCCAATAAAGTTATCTGGCAGTCATTACTTTCTAAACTACAAAAAGCAATTTTACAAACTTTGTTCTGCAAATCATTAGCAACAGCTGCAATGCACAACCCGACAAAAAAAAATTTTATCACTTAACGCTTGTAATAATATGCTCCAAGTAAGCCTTGCATCTATAACAAAAAAGAACAACTAAAAAGGCATATATACAAATATAAATATAAAATATAAATGCAAATATAAATATAAATATGGACATAAAAATAAATATAAATATAAATATAAATATAACCATAAATACAAATACATATATAAATATAAGTACATATACATATATAAGTATTTATTTATTTATTTACTTATTTATTTACTTATTCATTTATTTATTTATTTACTTATCTATATTCATAATTATTTCTATTTTTATATTTACATTTGTTTTCATAGCTATACTTACATTTAAATTTATATTTGTGCTTATATTTATATTTATGTTTATATTTATACTTTTGTTTTCATATATGTCTATATTCATACCCGTATTTATATTTGTAAAATGTTTTAAATAATATTTTCAAGAAGACTTACGATAAACGACGAATATATGTGAATAAGATTATTGATAGAACGCTTTTTTGCTACGTTAGGCGGAGATTAAAACAGCAGCTTCCAATCAGCTGTGAAACATTAAAAAACTCTCAATGAAATAACCTATAGAAGCAAAAGGTTCAGAAAGCAAACTTAACAGATTGTCAGGTTTAGAAGAAAAAAAAGAAAGGGAGGTGCTCAAAACATACAGAACTTGTAGGTAGGAAGCAGTTTGTTTACGGAACGACGGTATTTTTCAGTTGTACAGCAAAATCGGGATCTAAGATCATTAACTGGAGCAAAATCATCAACAGCCGCTTGTAGAAAGCAAACTTGAGATAACACAGATCATGAAAAACAACGTTAGCTGAAGACGATGGTTTATTGACTATCGCTCAGCACAACATGTCAACAAACTGTGAGGTGTTTTAAAATTGGCGCCTCCAGCAACTTTCCGCTGCTGCTGCAAGTAGAACCGCTGTTGTCGTTCGTTGCAATTGGTTCTTTGAACTGTTGCCAAATCTGCTACAGACCGTTTCAAAAGCGACAGCAGAAAAAAAGGCAGAAATAATGCCTACGAGCTGAAAGGTCGTCATAAGTCGCCTTACCATTGAAGACTCCCCGTGCAACTGACTAATTGATTAAGTAACTGCGCAATTACCTTTTTCTGAACCGTAATTGTCAGTATCCTTCTTTTTCTTTACATGTTGATTGAGCAGCTCCTACTGCTTGGATTATAGTTTGCGCTTCGTTGCATGTATCTACCAGTTCCAGCTGTTGTAAAGCAGTAATTTAGTCTGCTCAATTAAAGAAGATAGGTTTTATGATCTTCATTTTTTTCAGCTTTTCTCAGAAGACTCGTGATTTCTCTTTGCTTTTGTTTACCGTTTACGCAAAGTCCACACGACAAAAAAAAAAAAAAAGAGTAACAAGCAACTTTTCATCCTTACAGTGTTCACAGAATACCTACTTTCCTTTTTCTTTTTTAAGTGAAATTCCTTAACGTTCTCCTCTTATTTTTTTCTTGAATCTGTTTTATTTCCTTTTTTTTTTCTAAAATTCCTCAGCCTTACATTGTTCATTGAATACCTACTTTTTTTTCTTTTCTTTTCGAGCGAAATTTCTTTACGTTCTCGTGACACTTTTTTTTGCATGTGCTTTATTTCCTTTTTTTTTTTTTTACATTCCTCTTGTGTATTTGCTTTGATAAAAGCGAAGCTAGAAAGAGGATATGAGAAGAATTGTGCAAGTAAGCAGGAAACGAATTCATCACAGACATATCAGACAGCAGCGCTATAAAACAATTGTGGAAGTAACAAAAAGGAAAACTCGAAAAAACAAAATCATTTCAATTGATAGAGACTAGTTGGTTGGATTCTCGTCAGGTTCAGCGTATTCCACTTCACTGTCATCAGCAGCTGCGTCCTGATACTGTTGGTATTCTGATATCAGGTCATTCATATTACTTTCTGCCTCTGTGAACTCCATTTCGTCCATTCCTTCACCTGTATACCAATGTAAGAAGGCTTTCCTTCTGAACATCACTGAAAGTTTGAAATTTTTAGTACACTGTGAGTGTCAAAGAAAAGATGAACAATGCGTCACACAATAAGTGCTTGTAGCCTGATAATCCATTGATTACAGAAACAGTTACAAGGGCCATAGTGGTTGCTAATAGTCCACACGCACTAACCAGTGAACTGTTCGGCAATACGTTTAAATATTTCTTGTATGGCTGTTGTATTTCCAATGAATGTTGAGCTCATTTTTAGTCCACGAGGTGGAATATCACATACAGCTGTCTTGACATTATTTGGAATCCATCCGACAAAATAGGCTGCATTTTTATGCTGGACTAAGAACATTTGTTCATCAACTTCCTGAAATATCTATGATTAGCCGCCCTCTTTTTTTCTTCTCTTTTATTTTATTTTTGTTGTTTCAAATTTATAAATAATGGACTTTATTTCATGTACAATCCCCTCTCATTAATACCAAAAGCAAAAAAAACCGTACACGCATTGCCATTTTACCCCGAAATATTGCAGCAACAGTAAGATAACGGCCATTTCTGGGATCACAGGCGGTCATCATATTTTTTGCATCAAACATCTGAATATAGATGGTTTAGAAATACTGATTATTATTTCTGCAAATTCTTAGCTTCACTACTGATTGAAAAGGAAAACCTGTTGTGTAAGATCGGGAACACTTAATGCTCGATATCCAGCGGCCTGTCTTGCTGTTAAGGGCGCAAATCCTGGGACAAAGAAATGAAGTCTTGGAAACGGAACCATATTAACAGCCAACTTACGAAGATCGGCATTAAGTTGCCCGGGAAAACGGAAGCAAGTAGTAACGCCTGACATAGTCATCGATACTAAAACAATTCCATCTTACGTGCAAAATAACAATGGATCCACATGCAAACCAAAAGCGCTTTTCAAGCACTACAATACCGCCGTAACTTTTTTGACACAACCTTCATTTTGAACACGAAATATTATACTGGATTTTTGAAAAGTAATCATAGGAAGATTGAAGTTAAGCAAACAATTTTGTATCAAAGATACTTAAAAAATTTTAGACCTAAATGATTAAGATCTCCGTAAGACGGGTCTGTCAGTTTTAGCGTTTTGAAGCAAATATTATATAAAGCTTCGTTGTCAATGCAGTATGATTCGTCAGTATTTTCAACTAATTGATGGACGGACAAAGTGGCGTTATACGGTTCAAGAACAACATCAGACACCTAAAATCACGGTGGGAAAAGATCCATTTTCAATATAAGTATTTAGCAGAAAAAAACGACAAATTAATACTTTTGGTGATGGAACCACAGAAAACGAACACATAATACGGTCGGGATATTCTTCACGAATTTTTGAAATCAACAACGTTCCCATACCAGATCCTGTCCCACCACCGAGTGAATGGGTCAGTTGAAAACCCTAGAAAATTTTGCATCAAGCATTTTTCAAATAAATCAGCTTATAATTTGATTACTCTCGGGCCAAAATAGGTGGCTACAACCTGCAAACAATCACATCCTTCAGCTTCGCGACGAATTACTTCCAAGACACTGTCCATCAGTTCAGCACCTTCTGTGTAATGTCCTTTTGCCCAGTTATTGCCAGCTCCAGTTTGACCAAAAATAAAATTATCCGGTTTAAATAACTCATTGTAGTGGCCACCACGGATTGAATCCATTGTTCCGGGTTCCAAGTCAACC